AAAAACAGCAGAGATTTGGCCCCTTGGCCATAGTTTGCCTACCCCTTGTTAGTTGATACATATCAATGGACTATAACGTACTAACTTTGGTTAATTCTCTTTTAATAGGTGTCTACTGAAAGTACACTGCACCTACTTTCTAGAAATTTATAACTTAGTCCTTTGGGAACTATGGACCCTACACAATGTAAGCTTCTTACCTAGCATAAGTGTTATGAATAATACGCTTATTTTCTTTTAATAAATATATGGCATACAGGACATTAATGATTATAACCTGGTCCTGTAAATCCAATTTTACTAAACACAATACCTGTTTTCTCAGAATAAGAAAAAGCAATTTGAAAGTAGATGACAAATCAGAAGAAAACATGAAATACATAACAGACAATGGGTTAATATTAACTGTATGTAAAGACATAAATGAAAAGGTGGACAAAAGATTTGCATAACCAATTCACAAAGGAAGACAAAACCTATATGAAAAATGATTTCTCTCTCTTATAACTTTAAAATACAAATTAAAATAATAATGACTTACAATTTTCAATTTTCAAATTAGCAAAATTTAAAAATAATCATAGGGCTGGCCCCGTGGCTCAGTGGTTAAGTTCACGTGCTCCACTTAGGTGGCCCAGGATTTTGCCAGTTCGGATCCTGGGCGTGGACATGGCACTGCTCATCAAGCCATGCTGAGGCAGCGTCCCACATGCCACAATTAGAAGGACCCACAACTAAAAATACACAACTATGTACCAGGGGCTTTGGGAAGAAAAGGAAAAATAAAATCTATAAAAACAATGGTAATACCAAGTATCAGAACAAGTGTGATAAAGCTAGCTCTTTCGTATATCATTAGTATAAATTGGTATAACTTTTTAGATTGTACCACATTTCAGCAATACATTTTGAGAGTCTTAAAAATGCCTGTAGCTTTACCCCAGTAATTCTGTGTCTTGGATTTTATCTTATGGTAATAATCAGAGTTGCCCATAAAGATTTATGTACAAGGCTATTAATTGTGATAACGTTTAAGCAGCAAAAAAATAAAATAACTCTATGAGGTACATACTAAATTTCCAACAATAGAGAATTAGTTAGATAAATCCTGGTACATGTATACAGTAAAATATCATAGAGCCATTAGTTACATTTTTAGTATACAGGTAATATTAATGATATAAAATTGAATTTAAAAAAATCAAGCTATACATACTGTAATTTGATTTTGTAAACATTTAAATAGATAAAAATATTAGGAATTAAATATTAACCATGGTAATCTCTGGGCAATGGATTAGAAATTATTCTTATTTTCTTTATACCTTTTTCATTTTTATACTCAGAAAAAATTATGTAACAAAAAATATTCTAAAAATTGTTATAAGCTATCCTTTTATAAGCTGGTGAACAACTAAAATTAAAGAAGATTTATCTTTTAGAGTGAACCAAATTTGGTCAAAATCAGTCACCTTTTTTAAAATTTATCACAGAATAAACTAAAAGAAGCACACACAAATGGACAATAAGACAGACAAACAACAAATACCCAATAGTTTTAATATCTCACTTCATTACACTGACCAGGTAGACATAAAATATATACACATGGAAGCAGCCAGAAAATAATGCTGTGATCATGTGCGTAAGAGTGGTGTAGCCTGTGTGGACGATGCAGAGGGAAAATAAAAAGGGGTGAGCTGGGGGAGAGAGTTCTTGTTTTCTTGGCTCTTCAAACATAGGCCTCAGACCTATCCTCCTTTTATTGCCAACATCACTATCTCCATGTCCTGCTCCCTCTTCTTCCCGGGAGATATTACCCAGAATGTTAAACTAGTTTTCAATAAACAGTTAGTAACTTTATAGGCAAGAACTTAAAAAATATCTACTGAAATCTAACACATTGGTATTTATCTTGACAAAACCATAAAACATTATACTAAGTAAAAATGGGCCATTTTTTCCTTTTATACCCCATTGATATTGACCATTAGTCAATTTCTGCATTTTATGCAGCTCTGAACATGCTTACAAAGATTGGGATAAATTTGAAAATAACTTTGAATGCAACTGAAACATGTAGAATACAAAATAATGTGTCAACATTATATGTGTTAAAATATGTATGTACATGACAAAGATGAATGGAAACACAGATAAACACATAATTTTTTTTTAAAAAAGAGCATCTACTCCACATTTGGCAAATATATGGCCAAGGTCCCCATCCCACACCCAAGGCAGACATTATTTGTCAATCACTGTACCCCCCACCTTGAAATGGTCTCCCAAACCATCCTCATCTCCTCTCTAGGCATCCCTTCCACCTGATATGAGCCCTGTTTGCCCTTTTGGATTTGATCCAACCTTCTCAATTCACAAATGACTAAACTGAAGCCCCGAGAGGGGGTGGATCTTACCTAAGATTATGTAGCTAGCTCAGCTCACAGAAAAACTTGAATCTAAATCTCTTGAATTTTAGTCATAACCTCTTTTTAATAAAAATAAATATTTCAGGCATAAAACAAAGGATAGAGAATAATATAATGAACATCTGTGTACTCACCACCCAGTTTAAGAGTTTAAATTTGGTGTTTATCATTTCCATGCTGTTTTTGTACTTTTACTTCACATGACCATTTCCGTAAACACTACTTAGGGGTTGTTTGCATGTTTTTAAACTCTGCAATTGGTAATAGATTTTCTATATCTTTCTACAATCCGTCTTTCCTCTCAAAAGTATCTTGTTCAGATTTATCCATCTCAAAAATACATCTAGTTTTGGTGCTTTCATTTTAACTACTGTATAGTTTTCCTATTCCTCTATTCTTCTACTGATTCATATTTGATGATTTCTAATTTGTTGCTATTACAAGTCATAGTAGCAGGAACATTCCTATGATGTATATCTGATTGGTCCTAACCTCTATATCACACCACATATTCTCAGGTGAGTGTCAGGGAGGTGAGAGAGAGAGTGGAGGAGCATCACTCTCTCATCTCTCTGACTCTCCCTTCTCCCGATTAGAAGGTAGACACGGTGACTATATATTATTGGTGGCAGGGGTGGGGTGGGGGTGGGGGATTAGTCCCATTTCTTTAATTTGACTTTTGATCAAGATAGTTACTTTATTTTGAATTTCAGATACCATTAAAAGAGGGGGTGAGATTTCTCTGTTTATAAGGAGATGTATTGGTTTAAAATGGTTGTGATATCCTGCTAATCCAAAGAAGTCATTTAAAATAGGGCAATATTCGGACCATGTGGCAGGCCTTAGGGTGAGACATTTGGAATGGCAGCAAGCCTTTGAGCGTTTCTCAGTTCCTCAAATAGATGTTTCTGCCTTCATTACTCAGGTCCTAACCTCTTTTCTGATAATATTTTCTCTCTAGGGGGAAGGTTGCAAACTGGTCATTGACACACTCAATTAGCCTATGAGCATATTTTGTTTGGTTTGATATTTGAAATACTTTCAGCCAGCATTTAATAACTAGGACATTTTCTATAAAAATCAGGATTTTCATCTTCTCCTGCACTGTTAGGCTAGTGGTAAGTTGACAGGGAAAATGCTCTCCAATTTGTGGTAGTCCCCACTGCTCCCTATCTGGCTATACTAGGCCCTTTTTACTCATTTCATCAGCTGCCCGGCCCTGGTGGGCATCTGAGTTTACCACCTCTGTTGTCAGGCCTTTCACTATTTCTTCCTTATGCTGAGCAGTTGAAAGAGACACTTATACAAAAGCTCCGAGCCCCTGAAACTCAGACAAGTAGTGGGGCCCCTGCCATGGAAACTCACCTGTAGGCCAAGCAGAACAATTTATAGGAATACAGGATTTTTGTTCCTCAAGAAATGGATGTTTCAATCAGGACTGCCAGTGTTGATCTGAAACTTTCCTGAGTCAAGAAAATCTCGTTGCTCCTTCAGAGAAGCTCAGTGTAACTGGGCTTTGAGTACAGTCCCAAGCTGCATCTGTTCCTTGGTTCTGTGCCCAGGAATGAGTACCCAGTGACAGGACATATTTTCATAAATGGCTTTCAGGGAAGTAGTTAATGCTGGGGAGTTGGAGGGCGCAGGGGTCAATTTCATTCCTTTCAGTCATATTTTGTGCTTATGAGCTGTCATGTCTTACGTATAAGCCAGACGCTGACCCTGGTATTGAAGGTTTTCTAAGATTGTTTTTGTAACTGGTGCCTCTGGAATTTGGAGAAAATATTCAGCAGAATTCTAAAATGAGCAGTTCTGACGACTATGAGCAGCTGATACAAACTTATTCGGAAATTTCTGTGATTTGCCTATCATCATTTCGGTGAACTGATGAACTCATGCGTCATACTAAGTGATTCCTAGATTACAAAAGATAAAGTAGCTTTCTCAAGAAAACTAGAAATACCCATTTTACAACGTGACCCAGGCCTGTCAGTCCCCAACACACCACTTCCCCAGGGTATAAGCTTTTCATCCAACCAGACTGAATGATTTCAGCAACCCCACTTCTCCTGAACTCCAGATCACATGGTTTCTCTTCCACAAATCCCGGCTCTAAGCCCGTCAGTCTCACGAAGAGAATTCTATTCCCCCAGCATTACCCTGGACCCACAGCCCCCAACAATGTGCTGAATTGTTGCAAAAACATCAGATGTGATTGCATCACAGTTGACTATCTTCCCTTTGCTGTTAAATTTTAACTATGTTTCTAAGTATGTGAGCCCAGATGTCCTGTGCAGCCCTCCCTAGGAGTGCTTAGAAATATGGACAGATCAAAGGCAACATAATTGTTCTGCGGCTGGAGAGCAGATGTCATCTTTGTTCTCCAAGAAAGGTGTGGAACAACGCAGGGTTTCAAGAATAGCTAGCTGAAATGCCCCTGAACAGGAAGATTCTGAAGAGGCCTAAACTATTCAGTTGCCCTTTGTGCATTTCTAGCACAATGGCTATCTCTTAATTCAAGCTGGGAGAGAAAGAGAGGTGAAAAAGAAAACAAAAATCGTGACTACTCACAGCTCTGTTCGCTTCCTTCCTTATTGTGGTGACAGATCTTTTTGTTGTGTCTGAAAAAGAAAAATCCCAGTGATTGAATAAGATTAATGAGAAAATAGTTCTTTTTATAGGCTAAAAGATGGCAGAACAAAAAGTAAATCCAAATAAATCCACGTGTAGAGTTCAAATGTCCACCATGGCTTGAGACCTCAGATTGAATAAATATGTAATGTAAAACTGAACCTTTAGGCAAAAATTGTGAACAAAGAAGGTCCCCACTTCCCATTCCTTTGTCTGACCCTGGCCCCCAGGCACTCAGAGGCTGAGGGACTGCTAATTTGGGTATTCAGCCCAAGAAATGTCTAGCTCTAGAATTCTCTCTTTAATTCTGCTTTAGTCTTTATTGCCACTTCTTTCCTGTCTGCCCTACACAGAACAAAAGGTCTGATCAATTAATTTACTCTAAAGTGTAAATGACTGATACTGGTTTAAAGTAACTCAGTGGGGCAGAAGCACAGGTTCACATAATGGATTGCTGCTTGCTGCTATTTCCCTGGTTTCATCTCTTTCTCAACCCTTGATTTCACATGTTCCCTCCCACTCTGATTTTCTTCCAGGACTTGGTGCCCCTCTCCTGCAGTTGACTGGGTTCCTGAACTGAGTCCATCCCTAATTCTGCTTTTGCTCTTTACTTCAGATTTTTAATAACTCCCTCTTGACCATCCTAACCTTGGACTGGACTTTGAGGGCCTCTATTCAGCATTGCAATCTCTTCCAAGAGGGTGTGCATTTGAAAGGAGTCCAATGGTTAATGCATAGAAATTGCCCTTGAGGGGCTGGCCTAGAGGCCTAGTGGTTAAGTTCACAGGCTCCGCTTTGGTGGCCCAGGGTTTTGCCAGTTCAGATCCTGGGGTGCAGATATGGCACCGTTCATCAGGCCATGCTGAGGTGGCATCCCACATAGCACAGCCAGAGGGACTCACAACTAGAATATACAACTATGTACCAGGGGGCTTTGGAGAGAAGAAGAAGAATGAAAAATTATTGACAACAGATGTTAGCTCAGGTGCCAATCTTTAAAAAGAAAAAAGAAAGAAACTGCCCTTGAATGTTGGAGTTTCAGAGAAGCCGTCTCTAATGCCTGAGGTCAGTGCTGCCATTCTCTGTGGTTCTTATGCAACTATAAGCCAGCATCTTTGGCCTTTGGTTTGAATCCCTATGAAGTCCTGGCTCGGTCTTTTAGGGCAGCGCCAGTCAAAGTGTGGTCCACAGGCTGGTGGTGGTGGTGGTGGACTGTTTTCTACCAGTCCATGATGAGATGAGTACAGAAATCGAGTGTCAAAATTTAGAAACTTTTATAGTAATTCTTTTACTATGTTATGTTTTTTTCTGATCATATTTATTGAAATGTCATATTATATTTGTTGAATCCAATAAAAATGGGCTTATTGTTTTATGTCTTTGTTCTTTCCATTTAATTTTCTAGTAATTCATTTTTGGTAAATATGTATTACAAAAGCATCAAGCCCAGGGGCTGGCCATGTGACCGAGAGGTTAAGTTCACTCACCCTGCTTTGGGGGCGCAGGGTTTCACCGGTTTGGATCCTGGCCGTGGAAATGCCACCTCTCATCAGGCCATGCTGAGGTGGCATGCCACATAGCACAACCAGAAGGACGTACAACTAGAATATACAACTATGTACTGGGGGGCTTTGGGGAGAGAAAGAAGAAAAAAAAAAGATTGGCAACAGATGTTATCTCAGGTGCCAATCTTTAAAAAAAAATTTCTTTTAAAAAGCATTGATCCTAACATATTAGAAATTTTAAAAAGCCAAAAATGTTCTTCACTATAGAGAGTTTGAGAAATACTGTTCTTAAGATCTGGAGACCTGTTCCAGAGATCTTGTCTCTACAGCTGTAGATTGTATTCTTGGCTTTGCCATCAGGCCAGCAGGTCAACGAACAAGTCACTCAATTCTTTTAGGTTGAGACTCTCTCTCCATTGCCCGAAGATAATACAGTCAGATTGAGCCATTTTTTGTTAAGCACTTTTGCAACACAAAGGCCACAAGTTTTGGAGTCAGACAGACCTGTGTTCAACCCCAGCTATACGACTGTAGGAATATTTTCCGAGTTTCAGTGTCTTCATCTGCAAAGTAGACACTACTCCTAACCTCAAGCAGTTTTTGTGAAATTAACTGAAAAGAAGTTTGTAAAGGTCTAGCACAGTGCTGCCCAGTAGAACTTTTGGCAAAGATGGAAATATTATATATCTGCTCTGTCCAATGCAGTAGCCATTAGCCCCATGTGGCAATTGAGCTCTTACAATGTATGAGCACTTAAAATGTGACAAAGGAATTGAATTTTTATTTAATTTAAATTTAAATAACCACAGACGGCTACTATATTGTACAGAGCAGGCTAGCATACATACCTGCATATAGCATGTTCAATGTTTAAAATTTCATTGAACATCTGTATATGCCAGGTGATGTTTTGGACACTGGACATATATTGGTGAGTAAGAGAAACAGTCCCTGCACCCATGAAATTTAAAGCCTAGCAGATGAAGCAGAATTTGACATTATTTTTGCAATAGCAGTTGCCAACTTCTTCTCTGGAATCCAGTAAGTCACACTGGAGGCCTGAACTGTTGGGTGGTTTCTCCTAGGTGGAGATGGTAAACAGAGCCTTTTATGGATGGACAACAGCTGCCCTCCAATCCAGCTTGGTGTGCAGAGCTGGTTGCTGAGGCATAGGTAGATAAATCTGTTTAGGAACCAAGGGGGCTTCTGGACAGAAAGGGCCTCAGACTGCTACCTCTTTACTCGACTCTCTCCTATGGACTGAGAAGTTCAGGGTAGCAATGCCCCTAAGACGGACTCAAGAGAGGGAAGTTAGAACTGGTGTCCCAGGCTCAACATGAAGGCTGAGAGCAGAAGAAGGTGGCCGGGCACAGCTGTGATTAAGGCAGGAAGCCCCTCCTGCCTCCTCAGCCTCATCAGCCCATGAGGGTCTTGCTTTGGGTGCAATGGCAGAACATGTGAGGGGAGCCAGAAGAGTTGTCCTCTTGCGTCACTCTGATCTGTGTGGGAGTTTGGACCAGCAAGGGTACCTTTGTATTGTGAATGGAAACACCGAGAGGGAACAGAGATGTTGCATGGCAGGAGTAGAAACAGCAGCTCCTCAAAACCAGGGTGTTCTGGTGAACTGACCCAGCTCCCCAGTAGCCTTTCTGCTTGTTTGGAAGCAGCCTGGCCCTGTGGGCTGAGTAAGCCTTTCAAGAGCTTGTGGGAGGTGGGGAAGTACATGCTGCAAGAGGGAGATGTTGGACTTTTTCTTAAATCTTTTTTTCCTCCTCAAAGCTCCAGTGCTTGGTTGTATATCCTAGTAGTAAGTTGTCCTAGTTCTTTTATGTGAGCTGCTACCACATCATGGCAACTGACAGATGGGTGGTGTGGTTCCACGACCAGGAAGCAAACCCAGGCCACTGAAGCAGTGAGTGCCAAACTTTAACCATTGGGCCATCAGGGCTGCCTCTGGACTCCTTGCTAAGATAAGCAGATGGGTGCTTGAGGAATTAGTTGGAAAATTAAAGGGATGCAATTACATTTTTTAGTCCAATCTATTGAAACAGGTCCTAGATATGTAACTGTGTGCTGAGTGTATTGAAAGGAAAAGTAGGTGCTGCGAAGCATCTGACGAGGGGATTTAATGTAATGGGTGTGGTCAAGGTGTAGAATCAGGGGAAGCTTGTGAAGTGACAGCTCAGGTGAGATTTAAAGGATGACTCCAACTCATGTGGACTTGGAAAAGAAAGTATTTTAAGAAGCATGAATACTACATGAGAAAAGTCAGAATTGAAAGAGTGGAATGCCTCTGAGGACTAGAAAATCCTGTATGACTAGAGCTTAGAGAACAAGGGTGATGGTGATGCAGTGTAAAGCCAGAGACGTGAGTCACATCATCCAGGGCTGTTTGGGACTTCATCCAATGAGCAGCGGGAAGCCATGGAAGAGATCTGAAGAGAGGAGACATGGCAGATTTGAGAATTTAAAAGCCTGTTCTGGCTAGAAGTGAAAATAAACCATACTGGGGGAGGCAGGAGTGGATGCAGAGAGATGAGTTAGGAGAGTTCTGCTCTGGTCCAGGTTGAACCACAGTAGTGACAGTGAGGTTGGGTCAATAAGCTGTAAAATGTTAGTTCTATTTCACTTCATATTTCACAGATAGGAAAACTCTCTCAAAGAAGTTAGGTGATTTGTACAAGATTATAGAGCCAATAAATGGCAGCACCTGGTCCAGACCTAGCCTCTAACCCTGGTTTAAAATTCTATTCACAGTACTAGCAGTTCTCAACCTTTTTATCTGACATGTGAGTTTGTGCACATTGCAGATGCATTTCCACGTGTGTATCCATGTATCTCCCGTGTAAGAAAGCAGATCCCGAAGCTTGTGAGTTAGAGACAGGGGTTATTATATAGGCAACCATGACTTCACTCTGGTTCATTAAAAAGAAAAAATAAATCACTTGCAAATTTATTCACTTAATTCTTATCAGTAATAAATCCCTCCCACCGCAGTTGGTACCTGAACCTTGCACCCAGCTTGGAGCTGCTGCTATCATCACTCACTCCTGGGATTGGGATGAGGGGAGGATTTTCTTCTGCTCTACCTTTGAGTGTGACTCCATTTCATTGTCTTAAAGAGAGTAGGGACCAAAGACTCTGCTGCTCATTTCTGAGGTGACTAATGAGTTCTCAGGCCCCAGGCCTAGAACCTTGATAGAAAGCTGTTTCTGAGAGGTATTTGTGAGGGAGGTAAAAGAAGAAGGGCGGAGGAAAAAGTTCTAATGGACTGCACCTGCCATGACTCTCCGAGGTCACAGGCTTGCACAACTGACTCTGTTTAGTCAATGTTCTGTCAGACGGGACCCTGCAGTTCCTCCTTTATGGTGAGGCACGCCTCCCCTCCGCTTCTATTGTTTCTCTCTCTCTTTCTTTTTCTTCCTTTCTTCTTCCTCCTTTCTCCCTTTCCTCCTTCCTCCTCAACTTCCCTCTTTCTTTTGACAACAGTTCCTTGGATTCTGCAGTACAGGTTTTGTGGTTAGCCCCCAAGCTAACGCGTACATAAGGCAATGGACGAATAGAGTATTGCAATGTTTCGTGGCAGATGAGAATACAGATGTTAGACTATAAATGTACACTTAAAAGTCCCTCAATCCTCAAATTGTGACCACTCCAAATTCCTACTGAATTATTCCCAGATGTCATTTCCTTTTCTATAGACAAGGCTGTGTATTCATCTTGGGAGGAGCTCCTTGGGTGCCGACAAAGGGACAGTTTAGGAAAGCACCAGACAGACCTGCAGATATTCTGGCCAGGGCTCAAAGGCTGCAGGTAAGCTCTGTCCCAGCGGGCACAATAGAACAGGAGTGGGTTGGTGAAGATACAAGCTAAGGAGGGACTCTGGGGGAGCTGCTGAAAGACCTCAGGGCACCACCAAACAGGTGCTTTCCCCACCCCCAATGGCCTCGCACACTTTTCTCTTTTCCTTACCCAACCAGGGGATTCAGATTCCTAGGCAGAAAGGGGTGCTTAACCCAGATCACACTTAGAATGGGGAAAGGAGGAATGAGAACTGAAGGAAACCTCAGGAAGGATCCTGCATCCTCCAACCAGCGAACTCTGACATAGCCGTCAGAGGTGCCAAAACAACACCTATCTCATAAGGCTGATGACACTTCTCAGCTCACAGAACAAAGCAAACTATTTCAGCCACAGGAACAAAACATTCCTTTTAAAATATTCAATGTAAAGATTTCAGTTCACTGAAGACTAGAGCCATTTTCTTCCAGGGAAAAATCATCTGGACAAGCCCAACGCAATTAGTAAGCCCTGCGTGGACTTAGTGTGAAACTGGGAAACTGTAGGCCCATGGGGTGAAGCATAACCTCACATGGACACACTCAGTCCATTTGGTTACCAAGAATAAAATTCACTTACCTTTTCTAGAATAAAGCTTTTGACAGAGCCGTTTTCTTAAGACTATCATTGTAGCTATGAACATTAAAGCAATGATGAAGGAGGGGATTAAAACATGAAGCAGCGAAGCTGGAGGGATCTTGGGTTCCATCTCACCTGGTGAAAGAAAAGCACCAGAATCCCATTACATGGTGGCCTAGAGGTAAACCAACAAGGTGGCCAGCTGAGTGAGTTATAACCAATATGGCCAACTAGCATAGAGCATTTACTCCATGCCAAGTACTGTTCTATGTGTGCTGCATGTATTAGCTCATTTAACTACCCTATGAGGCAGGCTCTGCCATGACCCTTATTTTGCTGGTGAGAAAGTGAGGCCCAGAGAGCCTCGGAAACTTTCCCAAAGTTATACAGTAAGTGACAGAGCTGAGATGTAACCCAGGTTGTCTGGTTCCAGATTCCATGTCTTTCATCATTCTGATACATCTATAATATTATATCTATCTATCTATCTGTCTATTCATCTATCTATCTATCTATCACCATCATCATCATCATCTCTCTCTCTTTCCAGTAGGAGAGTCCCTCGGCCCCAAAATGTCCATCTCCTCCACTGTCAAGCACTCATAGTGCTTAGACTCTATACCATTAGTTATTCAATTTCAAAGATAAACAGGATCCTTTTGAAAAAATAGAAAATCACAGGTAGTGTTAAAATACAAAATCTAGTCATTCATACCTTAGTGTGAATTATTACCACTATCCCTTTTCCTTGTCTCAGCTAATCAAGGTCCTGGCCCTGAGGAAAAGATGAGTTTAGTAGAGAAGTGGATGAGATGAGTAATTTTGGAGCCTGGGGAAAACCTTGTAAAGGAGAGCTCTGGGTATCTACAGGTTAGAGGGCTCAGACTGACAAAGGGCAAGGCTGGAGGGGGGTTCACTAGGGAGATAGATGCAAAGAACCTGGGTCACTGAATGACTTCATGGAGTATAGCTACTTATATGCTCTAAATCACCTTATATCTCTGAATATTACATGAGAGAGAAGTATACATCTGTCTTGTTTGAGTTGTATTTTGAGGCCTCTGTCGTGGCAGCTTAGCCTATATCCTAATATGTATTCTTCTAAAGTATTTTATAATAATTGCATGCTACTTAGCAATGATATGACGATGCAATGAAAAACTATTTGTTTTATTCTTACCTACGGTACCAGGCACTCACAAGAAGCCATGCCTCTTCCTAGAGGTGCCATATCTCCCCCCCATTTTCACCCTCTCTGAGTGCAAAGACTGTAAAAGCATATTTCATTTAATCCTCATAATAACCCTATAAGGCATCTACCATTATTTACCCTCATTCTTCAAATGAGAGACTGAGTTCTAGAGTGGCTCAATCATATGTTCACATTCTCAGCCAGTAGGTAGAAGAAAGACGATTTGAAATTCAAGTCCTTCTGACTTCAGAGCCCATGCTCTTGACCACTGCCAGAGAGTCACCTCCAGGTCTGCTGGGAGGGCTTCTCTGCCAACCCCACAAGGATCTTGGTATAGTTATTTCCTGTGCTCCAGTTCCATTACATTTCCTAATGAAAGAGCAACAACTGGCTGAGCAGGAGAAACCCTATTTCGAAAGGAAAATAGTCTCACTGCACCTTAATTTCTGATTGAAAGTTAGGATGTTCAGTCATCCATTCTGGAGCATCTCCCACCCCCAGACTCTCATTGCCGTATTTGTTTTATTCGTGGACTTCTGGAGAAGCTTGTGTTGGGTCACAGAAGTCAGCAGTGAGCAGCTCAATTTATGAGAATGAGCAGAAAGGGGAAAGTCATAGACAATTAAAAAATGTCTTTGAGAAATAGGAACAAGGAAACCATGGGAGGATTTGTGACTTTGGTTATTTTGTTGCTGATATTTGTATCACAAGCTAGGGGATCATTTGACTGCTCTGATCTGGCTGTCCACTGTGTCTGGCGGCTGGGATGATGGGACTGGATCATCCAAGACGTGGTCTCCAACCCATTAATCTGACACTTATTGAGCACTTGCTATGTGCAGAACACTCCACTTTTGCTTTAGTCTGGGTATAAAGAAGACTCATGTGAACAATTAAAATACACAGAAAATAAAATAGCAATGAAAGAGAAAAGACAAGCACAGTCACAGGCAAACAAAGAAATGGTACAGGTAATCAGCCTTTAGGGGCAAGATGAGGGAAAGATCCCTCGTACCCTGGAGTTACCTGAGCTGCCTTGGAGAGAGGGTGGGCTTGGAGCTGGTGAAGAGGGTGCATAATGATATTTTATGTGGAAGAAACTGCCTGAGCAAAGAAGTCATGGAGGTGAGAGAGGTTAAGCAAGTTCAGAGAGTACATGGTGTGGAAGGGGAGCTGACCGGAGTAGAGGATCCACGTCTGGGGATAGTGGGATGAATACAAAGCTGGGAAGGATGGGTAAAACTAGGTTGAGAATGTCTAACTGCACAAAGATTTCTCCAACTCCCTGCCAGATGCATTCATGAGTAATATCCTAGGAGATCCTGAGCTCTGATGCAGATCTCACAGGCCCCTCCCATGACTGTTGACTATTCAGTCAGCTATGTTGGCTCCCAGAGAGAAAGGGGCCACCTTATTTCATTCTTAACTTCTCACAGCCTCAAGTCTTCCAGAAGAATGGTCAGTTGGCCCTTCCACTTTTCTACCACAGAGAAGAAAGCACTAATGTAATCAGTGGTGCAAAGGGTAGATTCTAGTTATTTCCAAATTCACCTTACCCAGGCTCCTATTTCCTTGCAGAGGTCCTTATATAAGTGTCCATCCAAGAAAACCACATTTCATCCAAATTGTTGACCTACACTTAACCAGGCAGGAAATTCCACATAACAAGGACAGTTGAGTAAACAATTTCAGGAAAAAAAAATTTCCCTGAATCTGTTAATATTTGAGCCTCTAAAGCTCTAGTATGAAGTAATTATAGCTCAGTGTTCATAAAGTGACAAGGCTGGTGGTCTTAGCTGTGGTAAAAAGAGTAGTAGCAGGGCCGGTCTAGTGGCACAGCAGTTAAGTGTGCACGTTCTGCTTTGGCAGCCTGGGGTTCGCTGGTTCAGATCCTGGGTGGGGACATGGTACCCCTTATCAAGCCATGCTGTGGTAGGCGTCCCACATATAAAGTAGAGGAAGATGGGCACAGATGTTAGCTCAGGGCCAGCCTTCCTCAGCAAAACGAGGAGGATTGGCAGCAGATGTTAGCTCAGGGCTAATCTTCCTCAAAAAAAAAAAAAGAGAAGTAGAGAATGTTGAAAGGCCAACTTGCTTAATTCGCTATTTTCACTCAAAGTTGACCCGAAAAATGATGTGTTTCTAATGTCTTTATTTCTATCAAGATCCTTAGAGTGACTCCTCTCTTTACTTCCTCACTTTATCATAATAATTTAGTTAGAAAACAGCTGGGCTAACTTTAGTGTTGAAATTGGGTAGTGAAGCAAGTTGGGAATTGAGAGATTGGAGATGACATAGCAACTGGCTACCTCTGAAAACTATATCAGGAGGATTTTTTTTCCCAGAAGAAAATATTCAGAAATTAATGATGAGGTGGGCATTGAGTCACTTCAAAATTCTCATTCTGGTCTATGGATTGGTGCCAGTCCATGACAAAATTTACTTTAATCTGAGATAGAGCAGATATCTCTGATGTCCCAACTCATATCCTGTCTATCCCACCCATGATTTCAGCCATGGCTGAATGTGGCTGAATGATGGATGGTTCTCTGCAGGTTCTGATCCACTTCCCCTGACAATCTTTCCTCAACTGTGTGCTGTTTCTGTGCCAGAGCTCTCCCAGTGCTGAAGGACAGTCCTTCTTCCAGTGACCCACCCGTAGAATTTTTGCTTCTCATCTCCACAAATTTAGGCTCTTCTGGATTAAAGATCCAGCTTCCTTGTAGCAAAGCTTCTGCCAAGGGTTGCTGTACCCAGGCATATGTTCTATGACATCTAAAGTTACAGCCACTGCCTAGTCAGCTTGAGCTCTACTCACTGGCAGACCAGCAGGCAAAGAAAAGAATTATTGTACTGGTGGAGTAATCAATCTTGATTACTATGAAGAACATGAATGCCGCTACATAATGGAGGAAAGGAAGACTATGCCTGGAACTCAGGGATCCACGGATTCTCTGGTTCTTGTTACTTCCGTGCCCAGTAGTCACAATGGACAATTGCAGGAACCTCAGTCTGTTAAGGGCAATGCAACTAAGGGTTCAGATCTCTCAGAGCTGAAAGTCTGAGTCACTTTCTACCCCCCAGGCAAAGAAACTATTCCATCTGAAGTGCTGAGTGAGGGAAATCTAATGTATGGGGGATGAGAAAGATGACAGATACCAATTATGGCTTGGGATCAGTTGCAGCAACAGGAACTGTAGCTTGTTCCACGAACTCTTGTATATGAAACCTTTTGCAGAGATTGTGGCTGTTCCTGGCCAGAAGGCTCAGCGACAGTGGACGTAATGTAGGGCAGGAGTGGGCTTGAGCAGTGTGAATGACAGATTTTGTAGTCCTGCCTCACTTCCTCTCAGCTTCACCTCTGATTTCAGCCACAGGCTGAGTAGAATTCAGTTAAACAGGCTTCAGTCACTTCATGGTTAGTGATTCTCCTCAAGTGGATCCTTTGCTTTCTGCCCTGGGATGACTCTGATGCTACAGATGCTGTGGGGACCTAATTCAGCCCACAAGTATTCATAGCTCACAGAGGAAGGGAGTTCGTACTCCTAGAGACAACTGTCAACCACAGGGGGTGAAAGCAGATGGATTAGTCCTCCAAGCTAGAGTTCTTTGAGTAAACATCTTAGGCGGCCATCTGGACACTTCTCAGGTGATCCTTGAGTATCTGAGCTCTGGTTACCCACACCAACAAGTGATAATGCAACATTGTATTTGCTTTTCCTACTTTCCTGTCTTAATATCCTAAACCTCTCACTTCTGCTCACTGGGGTCACCACCTAAATATCTGCATGCTGCACAAGTCCTTATTGTAGGCTCTGTTTTGTCTAAGACCAAGGACAAAAGGTGAAATATAGTGACGATAGTGAATTTTCTATAAAGTCAAATTTAATCAGTACTAGGGACTGTCCTTTATTTTGAGATTATATCCTTCATTGGTATCGTAGCAGAATAATGGTTCCCCTCAAAAAGATGTCCACATTCTAATCCTGGAGCATGAGAGTGTGTTTCCCTGCATGGCAAAAGGATTTTGCAGATGTGAATATATTAAGGCCCTTGAAATGGGAAAATTACCCTGAATTATCGGGTTGAGGTAGGAGGGAGGCATCTGACGTACTCACAACGGTCTTCAAAAGGTGGAAGAGGAAGGCAGGAAAGTTAAAGACAGAGATGGGATGATAGAAGCAGAGGTCTGAGTAATGCAATCACTGGCTTTAAAGTGGAGGAAGGCGCCATGAGCAAAGGGATGCAGGGGGCCTCTAGAAGCTGAAAAAAACAAGAAAATAAATGTTATCTTAGAGCCTCTGCAATCCTGTTGACATCTTGATTTGAGCCCAGTGAAGCCCATTTCAGCCTTCTGATCTCCAGAAGTGTAAGCTAATAAATTTGTGTTGTCTTAAGCTCATGAAGTTTGAGGTAATTTGTTACAGGAGCAATAGGAAACATATGTGCTTGGTGATAAAATGACCTGTCTCTTCTGAAATAATTGTGATACTAGATGTTAGTTACTCTTATTTAGCAAATAAATGTTCTTACTTGGCAAATAAAAAAATTGTCAGACTCCCAAAATTGTTTGAAATTTTGCTGGTGTATGAAGTTCTAAAGGACGGGATTCAGCATAGCCTGCGAAGGCTCTGAAGGATTTTTGTAGGAGGCCAGTTTTCCTGGAAAATCCCGTAACCACTATTTATCCTGCTAACTCATAGCACTGAATCATCATGATAGGCTTTTGCGCTGCATATTTTCTGTTTCATCTTCAGATCCACTCTCTAAACCTCAACACTGTTCTGAGCTCTGAGAGCTCTGAGTCCCTATCAGTGGACTCCTTTGTTCTCTGATTTCCAGTTCAATCAATGGGAGGCACCAGCAGGAGACTGGAGGGTAGGAAGAGAACTAGGTTGGGTTAGTCACTCCCTAGGCTTCTGCCCTTTGTTGTTGCCACAGGTGGCAGCATCCCCCTACGGCAGGCCATAGCTCCTGTCAAGTGGTGCTTTCTCTACGGCTCCCTTCTCCAGGTTCCAGTAACCTCTCCAACAGTGGTAACTGCTCCCCCACTGGTGAAGGCCTAAGGTCCAGCACTATCCTTAGTTTTTCTAAATCCTGATCACACCTTCATAAACATTCCCTTTATTACACTCTCCTCAAATTACTCATTCTGAGTGTGCCATCTATTCGTTGTCTGAACCCTGACTGATAGAGCTGGAAGGGCAGGTAGCTCTTACCTTGAGGGTCAACGATGGCTGAAGTAAGTTCCTTCACATGAGCATTCCAGAACTCACAGCTGAAGTTTCTGCCAGGGTGTGGCTTTAGGCGCAGAACGCTGATAACCTGGTAGAGTCCTTCAGAGGTCTTGGTGTGGCTGGTATTGGCAGGAACACTGACATTTGGCCAGAACACTTCTGCCAGGGGATAACCTTCAGCCTGGCAAGTGATCTCTACCTCATCTGTCCCTGGGACCTTAAGGACATGAGTGTTTATTTTCTTGTAGGAAGCTGAAAAATAGAAGAAGAAAAAGAAACATGTCTTTCTTTTCTGATTCTTATAGAGCTCTGTACTCAATGCCATGTGAAATGAATACAACTATCATTATCAATGTTAAGTAATAATCGTTTTAACTTTTTAAACATTTCCTTTGTCCTAGATATCATGCCAGTCTACATACATTGAAGTATTTAATTCTTGCAGCACAATAAAAATGGCATTGTTGATATTCCCAATTTTTGTTGGAGGAAACTGAAGCTTGAGTATTTTGCCTACAGTTACAGGACTAATAAGTGGTGGAGCCAATATTTGCACATTGGAAGTTTGATTTCAGATCTCAACAGTGCTCTATGCCACCACACTCTGGGGCTTCCTATCTTACTGTAAATTATCTCACAGTTGGGGACTGAGAGAAGAGAGAGGATGGATAAATAAAATCACTAGATAACCCCCATATCTCACTCTCTTTAGTACTCTTTCTATTACCTTTCTAAGAGAAAATTGGCTTTCCACTCCCCCTTTTCTTCTGTTCTCTTTGAGATTAGCAGGAAAAAAAAAAAACCTAGATTCTGCCTATAAATAGTCAAGAATTGGGTATATCGTGTAGTTTTCCTCTCCAACACAGACACGCGCACGCACATACACACACCCTCTTCTGTGCAGTATACACTGAGTGAATTAATCAGATATGGCTCTCTGCCCTTTAAAAAACAGGTCTATAATAGACACAAGTGACATTGAGAGCAACAGGACAAAATATGGACAAATAGCTCAATTATCTCAGATGATAGCTAAAAATAAATATTAATAACCTATGCAGATAACCAGAGAGTATGGAAAGTAACCTGCTGATTTTCGGTGAAGGAAAGAGGGAATGAGCACGAGTTTTCAATAGGTAGGAAGTATTTTCTTAAGGTGTAGAATTTCAATACAATCTTTAAAGCAAAGGTATATATGTGCACAGGTGTGATGAAACTGGTTTTTTCCCTTAAATTGTTAGAAGTATAAATGGGTACAAAGTTTGTGCAAAGAGATTTTACGTTAAAATAATGATAGCCATGTGGGAAGTGGCAAATATGTAAGTGTTTTATATGTGCTAAGCTTTATGCCCTGAGCTCTTATATGCTGTAGAGGAGGAAGGAATGTTCATGTCCCTTTCCACAATTTTTGCCCCTTGAACACCTCCCTTGGTGTGTCTCTATTATGAGTTGCTAATTGTTTAGTTATAGCCAAAGACACTCATTGGGTTCACTAGAGAGCAGGATGACTGTGCCTTGAAGTGCTGTTCATAACCTGTGGCTCTCTCTTGAAGTTCTTGTCTCCATGCAGCAAAGCATCCTCTCTGGGCCTGCCGTCTTCCCAGCTCACAGTATTCCAGCATCTGCCTGTGACTCGGTGGGTAGGGCAGATTTTCTTATCCAGGAGGTTGGATAGATAAGGGTCATGAGGATCTGATCTGCAAACCTGGACTTTTAGATTAAGAGGAGAGAGCAAGAAACAAGAGGCCCCTATTCTAAGTCATGTTCTCCAGTATAAATGACCAGAGAAGCCTCAAAGTTGGGATAGGCGAAAGGGGAAAATTATGTGCTCATCCAGTTATTAATTTTAAAAACAGAGTTCATTTCCCATTTGGCTATTGATTCTTGTGTGGATAGCTCACTTAGTCCAGAACTTGGAGAGAAGTAGGGGTGAGTGGCTCTAAAACCTGACTCCGTCCCCTTAACATATATTATCTCATTTAAACTACATGAAGAGCCCTAAGAGGCAGGTAAAATTCATATCCCTATTTTATAAATAAGAATCTGTGGGGTGGGTGGGGCGCCTTGAACTCATGTCCTTCATGGCCACAGAATTCGGAATTCTGCACTGGAATCATCGTAAGAGGACAATTCTCCACGTAATTGCAGAAGTCTGGGGATGGAGCAACATACACAGGAAGAGGAATTTGTTTTCCTGGGGGACTTAGGAGCACTCAGAACTAGCAGCAGATGAGGAGAATCAAGCTCTGAAGCAGTCTGCTGAAAGACTTGAACCAGTTAGACTCACCACCCTCCTTGGAGCCAAATTTTGGTCTACCACCAACAAACAGCATCTGAGGTATACGTTTTGAGTACTCACTTTATCTCTCATTTTATGTTATTTATCTACACTTATTTTCCCTTGGTTTGATGTCCTCTTATAATCAGTTCATGCTATTATATTGTAGATTATTTCTGTAAGCCCTGGGGTCTTTGCGGGAGATGGAGTAGAATAAATGGATTCATAGGAGCAATGTGTTGTGGGTGAGGGTCTGGCCTGGTCCTGCAGGGTAGCTCAGGACAAGAAGCTGATTTTGGTGGCCAGCTGAGAGATGATTTCAGGTGGAAGGGCCAGGAATCAGGAGCTGGGCTGAGGCTTTGACTTGGGATATAAAAAAGAGGGAGCAGAGGAGAGGGATATTCAACTAAAAGAGTCAGCAAGGTTTGGGGAAGGGACAGAAGCCCGTATCCTACATTGATACAATATGAAAAACACTGCCACAGCCTCTTTTGTATTTGGGAAGTGCCTAAGAAGACATCATTATCAGCAACACACAATGGACAAGCTGGACTGAGAGTGGTATTCTTATGAAAAAATGAGTAAATTTTAGAATTTCAGAGGTGAGAGTGATACTAAAATTCAACTAGTCTGACTTCCTACTTAATGATTTATATATTCTGTAGCAACTTTGCTATATAACTATCTTGATGAATGTTTCACATGCACGTGGAAATAATATGTCTTCTGCAGCTGTTGAGCTTAAGTTTTATATATGCCAGTTAGGTCAAGATGGCTAACTATGTTGTTCAACTCTTCTATTTTCTTTTTTATTTGTTCTACCAGTTATAATAGAGATGAGTTGAAATCTCCAAATATAATTGGAGATTTATTTACTTCTTCTTTTAGGTCTGTCAATTTTTGTTTTGTATATTCTGAAGCTATGTTGTTAGATGTATACACATTTAGAATTGTATTCCTGTCAAATTAACTTTTTTATCATTATGAAATGTCCCTTTTTACCTTTAATAATAACTCTTTTCTGATATTAGTAACCTGCTAGATAACTAAATTTTGGTTAAATATATCTGTGAATGGAAGCTCTTACTTCCAGAAGCAGTCATTGCCATGATTAGACACTAAGTTAAATTTTTCTTGGGAAGATCATCCTATACCAATTCAAATTTTGCCTCATCATAGCTTCAGCCCATCAGTACTTGGCTGGCTTAGGAAAACAACGTATGGTGAGCATAGTAGTTAAAAGCATGGGCTTTAGAGTCTGAAAGTTTTGACCAGGCTTGAGCCAAGGGCTGGTTACATGACCTGCCAAGCCCTCAGGTTTCTCATTTATAAAATACGATAAAACTTATCCTTAACAGAGGTGTGAGGATGATTAAATTAGATAGACACCTAGAACATAATAAATACACAATTGGTGTTAGCAATTACTATTAGCTCTTCCCTGTGACGAGGCACCCCTTCATGTATTTGAAGATAACTGGCAAGATTCCATAGTCTTTTCCCCTCTAGGTAAAACATGCCTACTTTTTTCTACCATATCTCATAGGACATAGTTTTCAACCCAAGTTGCAGATACTGGTCTTTGGGTTTATTTTTGCTGATGTAACACTACCTATATTCCAGATATTATCTAATCAGCACAAAGTATAGTGTGACTAATTACTTCCTACGTGCTGAGCACACTTTAGGCTCAACACAGCGGGGGTTTTTTTGTTTGTTTTTTTAAAGATTGGCACCTGAGCTAACATTTGTTGCCAATCTTCTCTTTCTTTTTTGTCTTCTTCCCAAAGCCTCCCAGCACATAGTTGTATACTCTCGTTGTAGGTCCTTCTGGCTCTGCTCTGTGGGACACCACCTCAGCATTGCTTCATGAGTGGTACTAGGTCCGTGCCCAGGATCCGAACCAGTGAAACCCTGGGCTACCAAAGTGGAGTGTGTCAACTTAACCACTCCCAGCCCCTCAACACAGGGGTTTGTTTTTGTGGGGTTTTTTTTTTGAGGAAGATTAGCTCTGAGCTAACATCTGCTGCCAATCTTCCTCTTTTTGCAGAGAAAAACTGGCCCTGAGCCAACATCTGTGCCCACCCTCCTCCACTTTATATGTGGGACACCTGCCACAGCATGGCTTGCCAAGTGGAGCCATGTGTGTACCCGGGATCTGAACCAGCGAACCCCGGGCTCCCAAAGGGGAACATGCGAATTTAACTGCTGCGCCACTGGGCCAGCTCCAACACAGGGTTTTAATACAGCCTAACATCATAATATCAACTTTGTTAAATGAATGATCTACTGCCCAGCTAGGCTGGCTATAACAGACCCCTTTGCACTTGGAGACTGTCTCCAGGTTGACCCAAGACCGTCAATCACCTTTTGTTGGCCCTGAATCAACAACTACAATCACGCATGGATTAATGATAGGGATACATTCTGAGAAGTTCATTGTTAGGCAATTTTCTTGTGTGAACATCAAAGAATGTACCACATAAACCTAAATGGTATAGTCTGCTACGAACCCAGCCTATATGGTACTGATCTTATGGGACCACTGTCATATATGCAGTCCATTGTTAACATAAACGTCATTATTTGGCACTTGACTGTACTAGTTTTGTCCTGTCTGTTACAGATTCAGTCAACTATACTATTATTCATCCTACATTTTACCACTTTATGCACAAGATGTATACCGTGTGAGTGCAGGACCTGCTTGCCCTCAGATCCATCCCTCAATTTTTCTTCTCGTCTCTATACTGCAGGAAGGCTGACTCCTGGCGGCTGTGTACCCTAGGCTCTTGACAGCCGATAGGAGGCATGCTGAGAAGACGGGAGGGTGAGCGTAAGGGAGAAGTTACGGTATTTTTCCTTCATGCCCTGAACTATCATGACCTCTCCAGCAGCAGCTGCATCTCTCCCCTGGCTCTAGCTACCACTGGACAGGCCCATTGGGGTTGCAGTGTCTGTCAAGTGACTCTGGCCTCTGGGCTCCCCCGCCTTCCTCCCTTCCCTCCAGCCCAGCAGTGGAAGGGGCTCGCTGCTATTGCTAATCACTGATTTGCCTTCCTGTTCCCTGGTTGGTATCTCAGTCTTTCTGTCAAAAGAATCACTATTTTCAGATTTCAGTTTCCACTGGATTAAATGATTTCTATTTCCCTGGTTATCTCTTACGATCTGACACATGTTACTGGCAACTCTATCATTTCTGAAATAAACCATACATAGTATAATCTGTTTTATCATCATCATGACAGCAACTAAGGTGAAAAAATGTAGTTTTACATGCCTTAGTGTTAGAGAATCCAGGTATGTTTCTGGTAATCACTGAAATAAATCTTTTAGGATTGCTCCCAATTCGTCTATTAAACGGCCTGGAGAGGAACATCAGGTTAAAAAGCTTGTGATTCCCAGGAGCTTTTTCCCCCTTCAAACTTCAGGACATTGTTTTCTTAGCTTTCCTTCTTCCCTTCTGTTTCTCCAGTGGAGAAAAGACACCGAGAGGAGAGAGTTACCCTCTGAGCAAATGCTTTCTCTGGGCCTAGAGGCTAAACCGCAGGTGTCTTTTCACGGCTGCATTGCTTATTTTGGGCTGTTTCCTCCCCATGACCTTTGTCTTCCCTTCTTAAGGTGAAGGCCATTTCTCTTTTGAGAGAAAATGGAAGCCATCCTACCTCCTTCCTCTCCTTGCTGACATTACACTCCTGTCTATCTTGGGCCTTTGTGTTGGTCTGAAGTATTTAGATAAGCCTCTGCCCATGCTGGGTGTTGGCTCTCTCCCGTCCCCATCCTCACGCCCTGCCCAGCCTTCAGGCTGGTTTGGCCCTTCTGTTCTCAGTATTTGCTCTGCGCCTGTCTGGGATCCTTTGCACAGGCCAGTTCTCAGCCCAAGCTCCTCCATGACATCCCTGGACTCTCCGGGCCTTTCCAGGCCACTGTGCTCTTGTCTTCAGCCATGCTCCTTGCCCTTTCTCAGATTTCATAGTCCTGTAGTTGCAGCTGGGCTTTTCAGAAACTGAAGCCTCATATTACTATCCCTTCTAGACTCACTACCCAGTCTAGCTAGTATTTTTCCCGTGTACTTTCGAAATCAGTTCTCTTTTCACTATATTTAATGCAAACTGCTGCCCAGACATCAGAGAACGTGCTACAAACCTATTGTCAAGGTTTATGCTATAGATGAGGCATTTTAAGTTAAAAGCACATCCTTTGTCTAGTCCTATTCCATTTAAATAAATCCTAACTGGGGCCCCAGATCTTCCCTGTTTCCTTCAGAGACCCCTGTTCAGGGTAGAATACTCTTAGGTAATTGTCTTCAACTTTTTTTTTCTTGCATTCCTCCTAAAAGAATTGCGATGCAGGGGCCAGCCCGGTGGTGCAGCAGTTAAGTTCGCACATTCTGCTTTGGCAGCCTGGGGTTTGCTGGTTCAGACCCTGGGTGTGGACGTGGCACCACTTGGCAAGTCATGCTGTGGTAGGCATCCCACATATAAAGTAGAGGAAGATGGGCATGGATGTTAGCTCAGGGCCAGTCTTCCTCAGCAAAAAGAGGAGGACTGGTAGCAGACGTTAGCTCAGGGCTAATCTTCCTCAAAAAAAAAAAAAGAATTGTGATGCAGTATGCACCTACTCACATATTTATTAAATTCTTTTCAAGTTTTTTGTAAGTTTCTGTACTGGAAAAAATATATGTTGATTAGCATTTTGTGAACATTTAAATTTTTAGTAAAACAATTATTTCACTCTTACACATGTATCCAATGTCATCTAGATATCAAAGACAGTGTCTTTTATACACACCACTGTCCATTGAAAAATACATACAAAAATTCTTCTCTAATGGTCAGACCTTTACATTGTTTCTTTTTATTCCTTGAACCTCAGTTCCCATTCCACTTTTTCTACAGGATTTTATCCTAATACAGCATATGTGAAACCTCTTTCATTGATAATCCTTATGTTTCTTTGCAACAACAAAATATGTATAGCTATTGAAATAAATTTTTTTCTTGTGACCATGAGGCTTTCAGTGATCAAAGTGTTCTTCTGCATTGAAATCTAGTTTCCATTATTATCAACACATGTAAAATCAAATGTAAAATAGTATGACTATTGATAATTATTAAACATAAAGATAAACATTTACTAGGAGTGTGTCTCTTAATGGGATGTGAATGAGACTCTTTCAATTTGTTCATGAACCTGAAGATGCATATAACTTATGGTTGGAATGCGACAAGGTTCAGCATCAATTTTATTTCTATTTTTCATTTTTTACAGCTATGAGGGCTAAAGAATCTTGCTCGTATGAATAGATAGGAATGGGAGCTGTTTCGTTATAGTAATGTCATTTCATTCTTTGCATGCCTTGTGGTTTATATGGCAAAAATTAATTTTTTATTATAAGCTGTTGACTCTAGTAGGGCCTCCTTCAATTGTGTTAAAACAGAGAATTTGATAGTACCTGATTTGCAAAAGGATTTCTTAGTCATTACAGTTTGATAATGTATCAATACTTCCAATCACTCTTTTGTTTAGCGCTGTGGACATTTTTACACCCTGGGACAATGCGCTATGTTCGTGGTGGGTGACAGGTAGGCTTTTTCTGAAGTAGGAGAAAGCAATAATAAAAGAGGAAGTGTTTTAGGGGAACTCCAAGAGCCCTGCCTGGAAGGCACATTCTCAGGCACACTCAATTTGGGGAAAGAGTACTTGGGGAAAATGAAGATCTAGAAACTCGTTTCCTAAAACTGTGCCCACACATCCCTTAAAGTCTTTGTGACCCTCATGTACCCTAGTTTGAAGACCATTAAGGGTCTAAGAATTAATTAGTGAAGATTTAAGGAATAAATCTTCTCCACACCTGAGCCATCCCTGGTCTAGACGAGGAAGCAGGCAGACTGCCTTCCCAGGAATGAGGGGCAGCCTTCAGCTGGAAAGAGAGTGGAGTGACTGGCCCTAAATTGCTCAAAGACCCTTGATGCATTATAGCATTCAAATACAGATCAACAAACATGGGGGCAGTGACGTAGGGGTGCAAAGACCTGAGGACATTAGGGGATCATGAGAATGTACAGCCCTCTTTCTTCCTGTTAATTGAACTCAGACGAAGTTCAATGTTCTGGAGTTCCTCCCAGCTGATGCCTGGATGTGGGAAATGCATTAAAAATAGAAGGCAGTTATATCCAGGCTAATGACTTGCCTGATGACTTATTGGTGGTTGAAGTGTAAGGAGGTCACTGTCCCTATAATAAAGAGTCTTTTAACCAAATCACTGGACATTCACCATATGCTCAGTTCTTTATGTCTATTATCTTTTTTAAGTTTTACAATAATCTTATGTGGTATCTTATTATTTTTACAATAATCTTATTTAAAAAAGGATAGCTACTATAGCTATCCTTTCATAAACAAGGAAAATGTGAGATTATTAAAGGTGAAATAATTCATTCAATGTCACGGGTGAAAACAACATTCACCCTTATGTCTAATCCTTCTGGTTTGTCCTTCTTTGTATCAGATCATAAAGTCACATCATTGCTGCCAAGGTCAGGGGTCTCTAGGGACCAAAATCCACAGACCCTCCAGAAGACAGAATGGATTCTCTGAGGCCTAATGGGTGGAATGGGGAAGGGACAGAGAAAAAGTGGCATAGTTTAGCTAACAATAGTCAATAAAGGCTGAAAAACACAAGCCAAGGAACACAGCCAAATCTGTTATTGTACAAGTAACAACTGAAAAAGTTGTTACTTGTCTTTCCCCAAATGACCTCTCCCAGAACAAACAAGAACTTGAGGATTCTCTTCAGATTTAGATTCTTGGCTCGTGTTGTGGTGGAGAGAGCCCTGAACCCAGAGGAATGAGGACACCTATTGACTTAACTGGGCTCCCTCAGGCCGCCCACTTCATTTCTCTGGACTTCATCTGCAATAGCTGAGGCTGCAACTAGAGCAGTGTTTTCCAAACTTTTTAGACTGTGACTCAGAGTGAGAGAAAAAGTTTACACCATGAGCCAACATACACACAACCCCCCACCCTCCGAAATAAAAGTTCACACAACGACACTCAGCCCTACTGTGTGATGGACTCTGATCTGTTCCATGCTATTCTATTCATTCGGTTCATTCATTTTATTGGGAAAAAACATCCACCTGGTTACTACTCCCTAAATTGATATTAATGGATGATAAGCTGTGGTTTAAAAACTCTGGATTCTGAAAGAGTGGCTTAATAATCAAGTCAGTGTTGTTCCTTGGAAGAATTAGGAACTAGGCAGGGTTTACCCTCCCACCTTTCAGGGCCTCATTTTCCTGGCTTCCTCTAGACCTGCTTCAGTCCTTCAGCTCCTACCCCTACTTACCCTCACCTCAGCTACTTCATACTCAGATGCCAAAAGCTATTTCTGAGCAGGTGCTTTGGTTTTCTCAGAGATAGCAGTGTCTCTTTCTGACTATGCTCCCAGTTTTGGTTTGAGCCAGTGTTAGCGGCCTTCTGTTACTTGCACCTAATGCAAGTCCTGTGTTGTAGAGATGGCTCCACGGATTCCAGTCTCTGACACTACTCACCTTTGACTTTCAGAGTCAGGTACTTGTAGTCCCAGGCAGCCCCATAGATGATCAGGCAGCGGTACTGCCCCGCATCCGTCACTCGGACTCGGGTGATGTGGAATAAGGCCTTCCCCAGGGGCAGCTGCTCCTCCAGCAACGTGGCTCTTTCACTGTGCAAGAATGTATCATTTTCCGCCTTTTGCAAACTGGCTCTTAAGTCTCTGAGTTCCACAGGACCTCCAGTGTCAAAATGACACTCCAGGGTCACATTGCTGCCATAGTCTACTGTGTACAGTTCCACAGGGACCGTCACTGTGAAAAAAGCTGAACAGAAAACAAGATATTCTCCTACTGTCTGACTTCACAGTTCAGTCCTGGACAGAGTGGGAGCTGAGGAGACACCGCGCCCCCCCAACCCCCCTTTCCCAGGAGAATCCTATCATTATCTGGGCGTTCCCTTGGGCTCCTTTCTCTCCTTTGCCTGTTCCAGTCTGGACAAGAGTGAAATTCTTGAGCTGCTGCTCTGAGGTAGTTCTCGCCTCTTAACACTCCCCACCTGTGCAGCCGATTGCCGTGCTGTCCTGCCACCCATTATCCAGGCTCATTTTCTTCATATGGATCAAATTACATCATTCCCTAACAAATACTGCCTCCTCTCACCAGTGATAGTAACAGAAGCAACTATCACTTGTTGAGTTCTTACTGTGTGTTAGGCCACTGCTAACACATGATCTCATTTAGTCTTCCCGGGAAGCCGGCAAGGCAGAACCATCCTCCTTTTTTTTTTTTTCTCCTTTTTCTCCCCAAAGCTCCCCAGTACATAGTTGTATATTCTTCATTGTGGGTCCTTCTAGTTGTGGCATGTGGGACGCTGCCTCAGTGTGGTTTGATGAGCAGTGCCACATCTGCGCCCAGGATTCGAACCAACGAAACACTGGGCTGCCTGCAGCGGAGCGCGCAAACTTAACCACTCGGCCACGGGGCCAGCCCCTGAAACATCCTCCTTTTAAAGAATGAAACTGAGACACAGAAAGGTAAAGCAACTTGCCTAAGATTGCACAGCCAGGCTCAGACCCAGGTATTGGTAAGCCCCAAATGCTTACCACCACTTCTCTTAACCACCACATCATACAAACCACCCAGTGCTCTTAACCAGCACATCAGACAAGCCCACTCTAGAAGCTTCTTCTTTTCTATCAACAAGGGGAAGGGAAGACTGGAACGAATATTTAGTGTATACCTACTATGTGACAGGCATTGCCCTAGGCTTTTTATAACTACATCATTTAGTCTTGAAAATATGGCCATGAAATATGTATTATCATTACCGTTTTATAGTTGAGGAAACCAGCTCAAAGGGGTCCATTGTAGGACATACAGTTAGTGAAGTTAAAATTTATAACCAGTCAGATGTTTCAGTTCAATATCTGTAGTTTCCACTGAAACAGTATTTCCCAAAATGTGGGAAATATCACTAGAAGTATGAAACATGATTTTAGATAGGACAGACTTGAGACCTAAAAGGAGTTGGACTATTCAGAGAGGAATTTATTCCCTTTTTAATTCTATTTCAATCCTTCAAATTACGTATAACTTGCAACCAGACCCCCACACCCCTAACTCCTTCTATTTTTCCTTTTAATAAAACAGGAGGCTACCAGGCAGATAATGGTATCTGGGTAGAATTTAACAACGCCACTTTAGTCTCATTGCATTTTTTTTTTTTTGCTTATACCTTCTATTTCTCAGTGATACTGGTTTTTAATTTACCACAGGGGTATACTGTTTTAGTCAAGAAATAAAAGCTGAGTTGATTTAAAGGATTCTGTGAGAACAATAGCATAAAGAGTGGTGAAACATGGCAAAACTCATGAAGGCAGTGAATGCATGAATAGAGTGTGAGAAACTACAAAATTGTGCTGCTTTCATCTGTAATGAAGGATATTCATCATGAAGCAGCTTCTGAATCATGACAGAAGATTAGATTAAGTGATGTCCAGTAGAACTTGCTTCATTCATTCATTAACTTAATCAGTCAAAGCATCCATTTAACAAATATTTGGGGATGACATCTAAGCATACGCTATTTGAGGGTTGTTTCCATATAAAACATGGTATGGAAAGAGTATAGGATTTAGTGACAGATGAACTTGGTGTCAAGTTCTGGCTGTATCAGGACTATGAGCCCTTGATCTTGAATGTGTCATTTAACCTCTATGAGTCTCAGCCTCTTCGTCTGTAAAGGTACAAGGTTAATATCTACTCTTAGGGTTGTAGCGACAACCAGAGGAAATGGCACATGTGAAGTGCCTTCTTTTGGCAGAAAGTAGGCCATCAGAAAACATTGGTCCCTTTCTTTTGTACCATGTTTTAATTCTTGGGAAAGTGGTAATCCATAAATGGAACGCAGGGCCATTCTTTATCAACTGCAATATTTTATTACCCAGGACAGCCCATTCCTGACCACCCTGGGCAACTGATTTCACAGTATAAGTAATTTGGGGTTTTCAGTTACTTGAATGATTCACACTGCAATTCTCTTCTGACTCAAGTTTTTCCTCTTACTATCCTGCAAGTCTTTGAAGTGGCCAGGTTGACTTTGTTTGAAAGCAGTGACCAGGTTGAGTGCCCAGTACATACTAAGTTCCAGTTAAGGGTTTCACAAATAAATGACAGAAAAGAGAGGGAACAAGAAAGGATGAGCCTAACCATATTCACTTCTGTTTTCCTTTCATCAAACTACAACTTGCCCAAGTTGCACAAATTGGCGTTCTTTTTTTTGCAGGGCATTATTCACCCTAAGATAACATCTGTTGCCAATCTTCCTCCTTTTTGTTTTTCCTTCTCCCCTCCACCCCACAAAACCCCATTACATAGTTTTATACAGTTGTAGGTTCTTCTGGTTCCTCTATGGGAGCTGCCACCACAGCCTGGCTACTGACAGACGAGTGGTGTGGTTCCACGAGCCGAACCTAACCCAGGCCACCAAAGCAAAGAGTGCCGAACTTTAACCTCTAGGCCATCAGGGCTGGCTCCAAATTGGCATTCTTAATGGCTACACAACACACTTGATAGTGTTATGCACAAACATGAAATTTATTAAAAATGACTGACAAGTGTATATCTTGCCTCCAACCTCAGTTTTAAGTAAGACTAGAACATTAATGTGCCTTTCCAACAGATATCTATAGTACAGAAAGGAGTTACATCTGCCCAGCATTCTTGGTGCAGGATGGGGGCGGGGACAGAGCTAGAACATGAGTGCTTCTGTGTAAAACGATGCTAATCACACCTGCACTCGCCTGACCAGGTTGAGAAGACTCCGGGATGACACATGTGAAGACAGACATTGTGCCTCCGAATTTCCCACGAGTCCATTTTGTGGAATCCACTGAACACTTGTAATAACTCTCACCCTGGGTCTCCAGAATAGGACCCTCTTAAGGGTAAATCTTTTTATGATGGGAATCATTTCCAAATACTTGAGTTATTGTGTCCCCTTATAACTAAGACAGACCCATCTGACACCAAATCCATTCTGCCGTGAAGAATACTATTTATTTATTCATTCACTGAATATGTGTTAATCTTCTACATGCCAGGTTCAGAAATTTACACTTTTACTCTGCTCGTTGTACTTCCTTCTCTTTTTTTATTACACATGATAAGACAGGAAACAGGGAAGAGAAATGGGGCTTGCAAGGAAGGTTAGTTGCAGAGTCTGCACTATAACAAGGATTAGAGGACTTGGGTGCGGTCTCTATTGAATTTACTTAGCAAGTCTATTTACCCCACTTATGCCTTCATCTCATGAGAGAGAGAACGCCTGTAACTTCCTCTGGAACTCCCCGTAGCGTACAGCAGAACTCCCCTCTTTACTGTCTGGGCCTTTGACAAAAATCCATTTTCTGCTTGCTCTTCCCCTCTGCCTTGTACAGAGTCTGTGGGTCCAGGGGTTGTAGGCATACAGAATGCTACCTCTCAGGCAGGTGATATTTTTCAGCTAAAGTTCACATGAGGAAAGAGCAATTAGCAAACATGTATCAAGTATCTGAGTAGCTCAGAATAACTAGAAGATTAATTGTTTTTTGGTCTAATTTTGCCCCAATTAAAGCTTCTAAGACATGCAAAGCTTTGAACTTGATTATCCCATATAAAATGAGAAGTTTAGGAAATGCAAAATGCCTCTTTGAAATCCTAAAATATTCTTATTTACTGTAAATTGCAGAGGAAACCAAAACCCTCTTGCAAACAGCTCTGTGAAGAGGCTTTTCTCAAGCCTGGCTGCACATTAGAATCACTAAGCAGAGGGCCTCAATTTTGGCTGTCAAGCTGGGCAGGCTTTAAAACATACTAGTGCCCAGGTCCCACTTTAGATCTTTTTTTTTTAAGATTGGCACCTGAGCCAGCAACTATTGCCAATATTCTTCTTCTTCTTATTTTTTTAAATTCTTCTCCCCAAAGCCCCCCAGTACATAGTTGTAGATTCTAGTTGTGAATGCCTCTGGTTGTTAGATCCTTTAAAATTAAATTCTAGTTCTTTTGTGAGGCCAGAATCAATTTTTTAAAAAATTTCCCTCGGAGCTGTTAATGTGCAGGCAATATTGAGAGAACCATTGGTTACACAAATAAAACACCTGCACCTGCAAACATCTTTTGTCATCTTGCCATTCAAAATGTTGTCCCCAGCTTCACCCGGGAGCTAGTTAGGAATGCAGAATCTTAGGCCGTGCCCCAGACCTAGAGAGTCAGAATTTGCATTCTAACAAGGTTGGGGTGATTCACATGCACACAGACTGTCATTGGGAAGTAGAGTAATAGTTAACATTCATTAAACGCAATGAGCCAGACACTGAGGTAACTTTTACATCATCATTTCATTTTATGTTCCCAAAACTCTGCAAGGTAGGAGTTACTATCCCAATCTTACAAATGGGGAAAGTGAGGCTTAAAGAAGTGATACAACTTGTCCAAGGTCAAAGAGTGGTAGCTCATGAAGTTGGAATTCATATTCGTATCTCTGTGTCTTGCAAGTCTGTACTCCCAAAAACTCTACAGATGTGACTGTTTATCCACTGGCCTGTATATACTACATCCATGAATGAGATAGATATACTTCTCAGCTTTATGCTAAAAAAAAGACATTTATTTTCTGTTTCATATGCCACATGGTTATTAAATTAAGCTTCAACCTAGCATTGAATTCCTGAAGTTATAAGACAAGGGAGAAAATTGGGAAGTTTTAATGACTACAAAATTAAGCAGACAAAACAGATTTTCCCATTCATTTGGGCCTTTTGACTAAATTAAAGGGTAAAGGACTTGGTCAGGGCATGAAAAATTCATACATGCACCTTCTTTAGACAGATTAAAGCAGCTGGATTGAGTAATACTGGAGCCTTTTTGAAAGTTCTTGGGGGGACTTTGCATTTTATTTGCAATCAGGCATCAATGAGAGTCAGCACCTGTCACATATCCAGGAAACACAAAACAAATTATTTGCATTACCTCCCAAGATAGCTTCCTCTTTAAGCTAATTTTATATATTTTTTTCCATTTAACAACAGAAGCTTAAGTTTTCTCAGACTTCCTACCCAATGTACCTGGGCGGGTGGGGGGGATGCGGGGTGGGGCTGCTGCTGCTCCAAGCAGCCACGGTCTTCAGAAAGCTCTAGCTGCTGGTTTAGGATAGGAACCTATTCTGGGCACCTGACCCATGTGCTCTTCTTTATACGAACACAGCATGGAGACATCTTGTCTCTTAGAAATCCTTTTCCTAACCTGATTTTTCTGCTTTGTATACCTCAGAGGTCAGCAGAATTAGTTTCAGAGGCTGAAGACAGGCTAAAAGGGGGGACCCAGGGTGTAGTCCCTGCCCCCAAGTGACCTCAAACATGACCATGGTCATGTGCCCCCTTGGTTTCTGTCCATATCTGGAGGATGAAGAAGGAAACATCAATGAAAGGAGGAAGACTGGGGTTACTTTTTTTTTCTCCAAGACATGACAAAGTACAAAAAATAAATATTTCCCTTTAAAGATATCTGAGTTACAAGATGTCTTTAGGTTTTGAAATGAAAATTTAAGAAAAAAAAGAACTATAACACTACAGTAATCAAAAGAGTGCGATATAAGCGAAAGGGTATACGCAAAGATCAATAGAACAGAACAGAAAGTCTAGAAATAGACCCACACGAATATGGCCAATTGATTTGTTTTTTTCCAAAAGATTTTTTTTAAAGACTGGCACCTGAGCTAACATCTGTCACCAATCTTTCTTTTTTCTTCTCCCCAAAGTCCGCCAGGTACATAGTTGTATGTTCTAGCCATAGGTCCTTCTGACTGTGCTATGTGGAACGCTGCCTCAGCATGGCTTGATGAGTGTGCTATGTCCTCGCCCAAGATCCGAACCGGCGAAGCCCTGGGCAGTTGGAAGTGGAGTGCACGAATTTAACCACTCGGCCATGGGGCTGGCCCCTGGCCGATTGATTTTTGACAAAGTTGCAAAGGCAATTCACGGAGAAAGGATAGCCTATTCAACAAATTGAGCTGGAACAACTGGACATCCATAGGCAAAAAAAAAAAAGAGAGCCGCAAACTGTAGCTCACAACTTATATGAAGATTAACTCAAGATGGATTATAAACCTAAATGTAAAAGGTCCAACTATAAAATGTCTAGAAGAAACATAGAAGAAAATCTTTTAGATCTTAGGTTAGGCAAAGAGTTTTTAGATATGCCACCAAAAGCACAATCCATAAAAGAAAAAGTTGATAAATTCGATTTCATCAAAATTAAAATCTTTGCAAAAGACACTGTTAAGGAAACAAAAAGAGCCATAGACTGGGAGAAAATATTTGCATATCACATATCTGATAAAGGACTTGTATCCAGAATATATAAAGAATTCTCAAAACTTAATAAGAAAATAACTGAATTAAAAATGGTGAAATGATTTGAAAACACTCTTCACCAAAGAAGAAATATGAATGGCCAATAGTCACAAGAACATATGTTTATCATCACTAGGTATTAGGGAAATGCAAATTAAACCACAAGGAGCTACTTGTATACACCTATTAGAATGACTTAAAAAAAGAACAAATGTCAATACCAAGTACTGGCAAGGATGTGGAACAATTGGAATTCTCATACTTTGCCGGTGAGAATGCAAAAATGGTATAGACACTATGGAAAGGTTTGACAGTTTCTTGTAAAGCTAAGTATATACTTACCACATGACCCAGCAATCCCACTCCTAGTTATTTACCCAAGTGAAACGAAAACCTATGTTCCCACAAAAAACTCTATACAAATGTTTATGGCAACTTTACTTGTAATTGCCAAAAATAGAAAACAACCAAAAAGTCCTTCAACAGGGGAATGACCAAACAAAATGTGGTACATAACATCCAGTGGAATACTACTCAACAACAAAAAGGAATGAACTATTGATACTTGCAACAATATGGATAAATCTCAAACGCTTTGTGCTAAGTGAAAGAAGCCAGACAAAAAAGAGTATCTAATGAACGATCCCATTTATGTGACATTCTGGAAAAGTTAAAACTATAGGCCAGAGACTAGATTAATGGGTGTCTGGGCCTAAGAGTTGGGGGAGCTATTTTTGTTTGACAGGTGATGGAACTGTTCTGGATTTTGACTGTGGTGGTAGTTATATGACTATGCATTTCTCAAAATGATAGACATTTTTATGAAAAAGAGTAAGTTTTACTGTTTGTCAAGTTCAAAATAAGTATTTAAAAAATGAAATGAAAATGTTTTCCACTTCAACTTTAAATTATTTTATCGATAACACGCTAGGGCATCTACAGAGCATACAAGTAGGGAAAAAGTTCATGATTAGTGGTTTACCTAAGTCACACTCGGAGTCAATTTCATCAGAGTCCTTAGGAGATAACATATTTTTTTCAAGCATTAATCCATCAAAAAATAAAACAACATAGCTGCAACGTCCATCAGTAGAGGACTGGTTCAATAAACAACAGCGTGTCCAGGGGAACGTGCACAGAGCCACTTAAAAATGAGGAAAAGCTATGTTTGCTGATTTGGAAACTATAAAAAACATATACTTGCCAAGTGCTTTCTAAAATTTCTTTTATGGAAGAAAAGGGCAGATAGCATAGAGCTGTGGAGAGTATTTTGGGGAGGTGGTTATGTTGAGCTGGGGCAAATGAATCGGTTCTGGAGAGGCTGGTGCTGTTCTATTTCTTGACCTGGGTGGTTACAAAAGTGTTTACCTTATAGCAATATTATGCTCTACATTTGTTTCATGTGGTTTTCTGCATCTGTGGTATATTTTACAACAGAAAGATTTAAATGCAAAAAAAATTTTTTTTAAAATATTGAATTAAGTAAAATGAACATCTGTGAACTCATCATCCACCCCAAGAACTAGAACATTACCAATGATGTATATCTACTGCCTCCACCAGAGGTAATCACCATCCTGTATATAGTGTTTCTCAATCTCTTGCTTATTTTTTAGGTTTATCTTATAAATACATATGCCTAAGCAATATACTGTTTATAAAAAGGATACTATGCTGTGTAATGTCTTCTCTGCTTGATTTTTTTTGTTTTTGACTAATATTATGCTACTAAGATTCTTAGATGTAGTTGCATGTTTTTGTAATTAATTTATTTGCATGCTATATAATCTTCCATTCTGCTAATATACCACAATGTATGCATTCTCCTGTTGATGGGCATTTGGGATGTTTTGGTTTTTTGGAATGACTAACAATGCTGCTATAAGCATTATTTTTAAAATTTAAAAATAGAAATTTACCCAGAGGGGTGGTAAGGAATCATATTGATCCAATTCGTATATCATTTTGTTTTCAATGAAGAGTGCAGATTTAGGGATTCACAAGGGCAATGAGGGAAGTGGAGTCATCGGTCTGGCCACCCTGATAGCCAGGGCTCTCATGGGGCACTGGATGTTGTAACCTGATTGCTCTCATATGCTTTTTAAACGATTTTTATATTTAAAAAACTATATATATATAATTATATAATATTTATACATATAAATACATATAATTATATATATTTTATATACATAATTTAAAAAATATATAATTATATATATATATATATATATATAGGTGAGGAAGATTGGCCCTGAGCTAACATCTGTTTCCAATCTTCCTCTTTTTGCTTGAGGAAGATTGTCCCTCAGCTAACATCTATGCCAATCTTCCTCCACTTTGTACATGGGACGCCGTCACAGCATGGCTTGATGAGCAGTGTGTAAATCCATACCTGAATCTGAACCCACGCACCCCAGGCCACCGAAGTGGAGCACGCAAACGCAACCATTACACCAAGTTTGAGTAAGCCACATTAATGAGTGAATGACCAATGGCTGCTACTGTTGCTTTTTAAAAGAGGAACTCAAATGAATATTTAATAATCAGCAGAATGTCTGCAAGAAACTCTTTAGAGTAATGGAGTCTTCTAGGTGTCCCCCTGACCTCTGTCTCCCACTCTCCCTGCTAGAAGGGAAGGGGACAGCTGCTTTGCATCCCACCTTTCAGGGCACTCAACCCCCGCCCTCTTGTATCAGTTCAAGGGTGCATGGTCTGAGTGGTCCTGTCTTCTTGTCACTACCCTCACTGGAGAGTGGTGATAGATGGACCAGTAATCTCAGTCCCTTTTTCTGTAAGACAGGGACATGGGCATGCACAAGCCACCCTGGGCACCATTCTTTCTGCTGTGCTTGTGATAGCCAGTAATCACACTTTCTCTTAAAGAAAGCTGTCGGTCTGAGGACCACATTCTCATCATTGACTTCAGCTAGGGGTCATCCTCTGCTCCTTTTTCTCAGGCCCCTCCCTTTGTCATTTCTTACCTGCTGTCTGACAAAGCTGCATTCCCAGACTCACAAGTAGTGGGAGGAGGAACATGTTCTGTACCGGATCTGAAACAGACAATTGAAAGTCTCAGGGCCTTCTGCAGTTTTGCTGGGTCTCATGACTTGGTAATTTCCTCACTCCTGAAAACGGGAAATGACTTGTAAACAAATATTTTGGGGAAGCACTGAGCCATAGTAGTGTGGAGCTGGGAACAGAAATTATAGATTGATTTAGATTGATTACCTGGAGGAGAGGGGAGATAGAGTGAAAGAGAGGCACTCTATCAGTTCAGATTAGGAGCTCTTCTTCTTTTGCTAATTGCCTTTTCTGAATATGAACCAGTCTTCTCGAGTCACCCACAGGGGTGGCTGTCTGTACCTCTTTGTCTCTCTCATGAAGCTTCCATAGTTTTCTGAGTAGCAGGCCCTTGAAAACCAATCTTGTTTGTCAAGTGAATAAGCACACCATCTTTTCCAGCTGGACTGGAACTCTGGGCGTCAGACCTCAAGGATAGTGCTCAGTAGAACAGAATTAGATTCTCAATAAACACTTGATAGTTGACTGAGCAGGTAAAGTAGTCAAGCTCTTTTGAGTGCTGTGAGTGAGTTTGTCCATCATCTAAACTCCCTGTTACTGAGAGGTTTAGACAGGAGAGCAGTGAACTGGCTCCTTTGAGTGAGGGCCAAAACTTGGTCCTGCTCCACCTCCCATGCTTCCATCTTTGCTTAAAGTCTTTCTCCCACCGGAGGACTTCTCATGGTTGAAGACAAAAGGGACAGGACACATAACTGTCAGCTATTTTGTCCTCGAAGAGCCTTTCAAAATTGTATTAGCGATGGAACCATTTGTTTAAGGGAAATTGGTCAGAGCCATAAATCTACATCAGGTAAAAGCAGAGCTGCTCAGAGTATAATAGAAAAGCAGGGAAGGATATGCATCAGGAGAAGGACAAGATCTCATTTACATTTTTTAAAAAGGACTCAGCTTTGGTGTAGACGATACACTATTCTTGGGACGGACATTGGGCTGCGTAAGATTAAAAGCAGGATGATCAGTCAGTAATGTTTTCACAGAGATGATGACAATTTGGTTTAGAGTGGTGGGGCTAGTGGAGATGAGAAGGGGTCTGTTGAGGGCCAGCCCGGTGGCACAGCAGTTAAGTGCGCACATTCCGCTTTGGCGGCCCGGGGTTCACCAGTCCGGATCCCGGGTACGGACATGGCACTGCTTGGCAAGTCATGCTGTGGTAGGCGTCCCACATATAAAGTAGAGGAAGATGGGCATGGATGTTAGCTCAGGGCCAGTCTTCCTCAGCAAAAAGAGGAGGATTGGCGGCAGATGTTAGCTCAAGGCTAACAAAAAAGAAGTGGTCTGTTGAGAGTTTTATATATATATATATATATATACACACACACACATATATATGTACACCTTTTTTGTCTTTTAAATTTACTGAATTTTTTCCAACAGCTTTATTGAAGTATAATTGACATACAATAGAGGATTATATATGTGTGGGTATACATATATATTTAAAACACAGATAATTCCATGGGACAATTCAGTGTTTTTTAGCATATTCACAGAATTGTGCAACCCACACCTCTATCTAATTTTGGATCATTTCCATCACCCCAAAAAGGAACCCCATACTAATTCTCAGAAACTCCCAATTCCCCTTTCTTCTTCCCCCAACTGCTGGAAACCACTAATCTACTTTGTGTCTCTATCAATTTGCTTATTCTGGATATTTCATATAAATGGAATAATACAATATGTGGCCTTTTGTGTCTAGCTTCTTTCACTGAGCATAATATTTTCAAGATTCATCTATGTTGTAGCACACATCAGTACTCTATTCCTTTTTATGGCTGAATAATATTCCATTGTATGAATATACCACATCTTGTTTATCCATTCATCAGTTGATGGACATTTGGGTTGTTTCCACTTGTTGGCTATTATGAGTAATGCTCCTGTGAACATTCATCTATAAGTTTTTGGGTAGACATGTTTTCAATTCTCTTCAGTATATTTGTAGGAATGGAATTTCTTTGTTAAATGGTAACTCTCTAAGTTTTTGAGAAACTGCCAAACTGCTTATCAAATATATGATTTGCAAACACTTTATCAGATTCTGCAGGGGTTTTTTTTCCAGTTTCTTGATAGTGTCCTTTTAATTTTAAAGCAAAAATTAATTTTGACAAAGTCCAATTTATCCATTTTCTCTTTTAGGAAACCATTGCCTAATCCAAGGTCACAAAAATTTATATCTATGTTTTATTCTGAGAATTTTATAGCTTTAGTTCTTATATTTAGGTCTTTGATCAATTTTGAGTTAATTTTTGAAAATGGTATGAGGTAAGGCTTCAGATTTGTTCTTTTGCACAAAGACATCAGTTGTCCCTGCATAATTTGTTGAAAAGACTATTCTTTCTTCATTGAATTGTCTTGGCATCCTTAGCAAAAATCAATTGGCCCCAGATGTATGGGTTTATTTCTGGACTCTCAATTCTATTCCATTGAACTATATGTCTATCCTGTGTCAGTACCACAGAGTATTGATTACAGTAGCTTTGTGGTAAGTTTTAAAATTGGGAAATGTGAGTCCTTTAATTTTGTTTTCCTTTTTCAAGTTGTTGTTGTTGTTGTTTTGCATATGGCTATTCTGGCTCCCTTGCATTTCCATATGACTTTTAGGATGAGTTTGTCCATTTCCACAAAAAAAGGTAGCTGGAGTTTTGATAGGGATTGCATTGAATCTGTAGATCCATTGGGGAATATACCTCTCTTAATAATATTGTCTGCCAATCCGTGAACACAGCATCTCTTTCCATTTATTTAGATCTTCTGTATTTTCAAAGAAGACATGATGGGAATTGCTGACAGATTGGATATGTAGTTTGACAAAAACAGAGAAATCCAGGAAAATTTCTAGGTTTGGGGCTTGAGTCACTAGGGCAATGGAGGTGTTATTTATTAGAATGGAGAAGACTGATAGAGAAGCAGATTAGGGAGCAGAAATCGAGAGCTGTGTTCGGATTATGTCTGGTTTGAGATGCCTATTAGACAACCAAGTGAAGATGTTTAGTAGCTAGTTGGATAAAAGGTGGTCCAGAGTTTGGGATAGAGATATAAATTTGGGAATCATCAATGTGCAAGTGTTGCTTAAAGCCAGGGGGCTGCATGACATCAACTAAAGAGATAGGGAAGAGAAAGTGTTGAAGGACTGAGATGCAGGGCATTCCAACATTTATCGATCTTTGAGAAGAGAAGGCACTAGCAAAGAAGACGGAGAGGAAGAGTAAAAAGGCAAATTAACCATATCTTTTATTGTCTATATTCTGATACTTTGACATCTGGGGACTTGCTGACCCTGGAGGGACTGCACTTCCCAGAATTAAGCAATTCCTAGAGATAGTAAACAACTCATCCATGAGTGTGCCTTCCAAATGCAAACCAACCAATCCAGAACCCACACCCCCCACCACCTCATTTATTGGGCTTTCACACTTCTGACAACTATTCATCTGCCTTAATCACCCCAGGGCTCGGTACCAGACAACTAGGGGGAGTCCCTACGTCTTAGAACCCAGTGAACGTATTCAAGCTAGCCAATTCTAAGCGTGCCTAACTTCCTCACCCATTTCTCCTGCAGAAACCACAATAAAGTCTCTTGTCCACATTTCTCCCTTCTCCCTCTGCCTCCTGTCTGACCCTGCTGTTTCCCTGTGTGGACCCCTGTGGTGAGGTGTGTCCCCATCTCTTTGGATCTGTGAGCCTGACAAACTGTTTTTTCAATGGCAGTCATCTCCTGATCTGTTGGCCTCACTGTACCTAAATAATAATAAAATCTAGAGCGTAAAATGCAGTGCTACAAGAGGGGAGTGATCAGTTGAGTCAAATGCTCCTGAGAGGTGGATTTCACAGTATGGAGTTCATGGATGACCCTGATAAGCACAGTGTCAGGGGATCTGGTGTGGATGAAAGCCTGTGTGGATTCAAGAGACAATAGGAGGTAAGGATGTGAAGACAACAGAATATAGCAACTCTTTAGAGAAGAGTGCTGTAAAAAGGAGAGAGAAATGAGGCAGTAGCTAGAACAGATTGTGACGTCCACAGTGGTTCTTGCTTTTATTTTTAGAGAGGGAGATGTTTCAGCAGGTAACAACTGGGAACAGAATCAAGTACTTTCCACAGGGAAATGCTCAAGGAACACCTTAGCTAGACTGCAAGACCCTCTTCCTTATCAAAAATGCAAATGTATCCAGAAAAGGTATCATCTTAAGCTGCATCTGCAGGACTAGCACTTGCCCAGCATTCTTATTTCTAGCACAAAAGGATAGCATGTAATATGTAGTTCTGCCAACAGAAAGGACTCCTAATTCACCCACCACTGGCTTAAATTCCCCTTCTTCCTTGCCCATCCAAGGGGACTTTCCTTGCACACTGCCTCCTTGAGCCAGCTGAGAGATAGACACTGTTATAAAGGTACTTTCCCACCAGGAGCTTTCTTTCTTCTAGGGATAATATGCCCCATGCAATAGTTAAGAGCTCAGGCTCTCAAGTCGGACACATCTGAGTCCAAACCCTGAGTCTATAAATTATTAGCCTCTAAGACCTTGGATGGTTTATGAAAACTCCTTGTGCACTATTTTCCTATAGTGTTAATAATAATAACACCCACTTCAAGCCAGAATCTTGGCTGTCGTCTTAAACCTACTCATCTCTCATCTTGCAAATCCAGTCCATCCCCAGTTCTGCTAATTCTACTTCCTGGATTCTTCTTGGATGATGACTCTTCTTTCCACCACCCCATTGCCTTTGCCTTAATTTGGCTTTTGTCATTGCTCCTTACACCATAGCAGAGCCTCCTCACTGCTGTTTTTATCTTCTAGTCTTGCTTCCCTCTGCTCCATCCTCTACTTGTTGAGGTGGAGGACGCAAACCTTGGCATCATCCTTGACTCCTTTCTTTTCTCACCTGTATCTGACCCATTAACTAATCTTATAGGTCCTTCTTTCGAATATATCCAGAATCTGACCACTTCTCACTGCTTCTATAT